ATATGTATCAGAAAATGTAATAAAAATGGAGAATTCTTTCCCCTTCATTTTTGGCAAAATTTGGTCCGAGACCATGTACTATAGTACAGGGACTTTTACCCGAATTTAAAGAAACTTTAAAAATTTGTAAAAAATCTAATTTTAATCGGAATCAGCTCAAACTTTCTACACAACATAAGTACATGTATATACATCAGGAGATGTAATAAAAATGGAGAATTCTCTCCTTTTCATTTTTGATGAAATTTAGTTTGTGATCTTGGCCCAATTTTAGAGCAACTTGAAAAGTTGTAAAAAATCCAATTTTGATCGGAATGAGCTCAAACTTTCTACACGTAAAACATAAGTGTACATGTATATGCATCTGAAAATGTAATAAAGCACTATGCCAAAGCCCTGCAGGAAAATTTTATAACATACTTGCGTTGTTGATTGTAGTGCTGAACCAGCTTCTGAACTGATTTCAATGATTTGAGATCAATTGAACTCAGGCCTCTAAAAGGAGAGAGATTCACTGAGCATTAAATAAGTAAATAATTCAATAGTATAATTATAATAATTATAATAATAAGTATTGTAATACTTAGTCTTTGATTTATCTCTTGGTCCTGCTCCTATTAGCATTCATAATCTTCTCTAACTATCAATAGGTGTGATTTATTGATTAGTCTAGGGCGTGGCAGATCTCTTTGCTGCAACATCTACAGTTGACGCCCTGTTTGGTTTGTTAGGTATTCTCTTCTGACAGTATCTTGATGTCATCTCCATCTCTCACAGCTTTAAAGATACCCACTACTCCTCTAGCTATTAACAGTTTCTCTTTAATGATACGATTCAATAAAACCTGAGCATCATCAAATGTATATACGCTTAGCTTCAGCACCTTAACAATAAAAAAAACATACAGTAAAACATACAGTAAAACATACAGTAAAACATACAGTAAAACATACAGTAAAACATATAGTAAAACATATAGTAAAACATACAGTAAAACATACAGTAAAACATATAGTAAAACATATAGTAAAACATATAGTAAAACATACAGTAAAACATACAGTAAAACATATAGTAAAACGTACAGTAAAACATACAGTAAAACATACAGTAAAAAGTGCTCAAGTTATTCTAATTAAAGAACTAACCCACATCCTTGTCATTGAATATTTTAGGGTACCCTCTGTTTGGGTACTTCCCCTTTAGCTGCCAGACGTCAAAGAAAGGTTTCCAGTCAATGTAAGATACCAAACGGTTCAAGTCGTAATCCTGGAACACTGTGATACCCAACTGCCTGGGTTTTACTAAAAAGGAGAGAGAGGAGAACAATATAGTATTAAAACTATTAAAGTACCCATTAATATCCTTACCAGGTTTATAGCTGTTCATATTCAGAGCAAGTGCTTCTGATCTAGCCTTTGCAATACTGACATACTGTTTATCCTGTTCACCACCAGCAAAAGAGAATAGTGTTCAATTTTAAAACAATCAATGTCCAGTGTACAATGTATTCATAAAATATGTATCATACTTTAATGCTGTCATAATGGTCTTCCCTAATGTCAGTGTATTCTTCAGAAATATCATCAGTGAAATCATCTTTAGCAGTAGCATCAAGTAACGTAGAGACCTAATGAGATGATGATTTAAAATTAAAATATTTAGAAATGTTTCGTTCCCATTGACTCACCACAACAACACTTTTAGAAGCATCAACAACATGTATAGTGGGCTGACTGTAGCATGGCGCAATCTTGACAGCTGTATGAGTCCTAGAAATGAATTTTTAAAGTAGCTGATAAATTTGATAAAATACCCCGGTACTATAGTATTAATTAATGAAGTGGGTGTGGTCATTAATTACTTTGTGGTAGTAGCTCCTCCTATCAGTAGCGGTATCTTTAAGCCCTCCCTCTCCATCTCCTTGGCAACGTAAATCATCTCATCCAACGATGGAGTAATTAAACCAGAAAGACCAATAATATCTTATAATAAATAAATAAATAAATAAATAAATAATACTATTAGTTGATTATTAGTAACGCGGTAGCGTTACTAAGTAGGATTCACCCCCAAACAAAATGGCTGCCACGACTTTTGCAGCCTTGCTATACCAGGAAAACGAGCTCCTATGCTTACCAGACTTTATAGAGGACCTTATCTTGACCAGAGGACTCCATTAGTACCACTAGCGTGGCTCTAGACCTTGTCTAAGAGAAAAGCCAAAAATCGGCGAACCGGCCGTTTTGTTCAGCCACCTTTTTTCATCTTCATCATCATCATCATCATCATCATCATCATCAAGAAGTCCTGTCAATCCAGTTGTCGGTGTGTATCTCAGTATTGGTTGGTGCTACAAGGATAATTCTTACACCAATCTACTCCAACAGTCTATGCGCAGGTCCATGTCCCATCAGATCATTCTTCAAGTAAGGAAAAAGTGATACTGTAACTGCTGGATAGAGCCATCTTAGCTGCATGCCGCCATTTTGTTAATTAAAGAAGCATGCCATGTGCTCCAAAATTTGGGTGTGGTCGCGCATGCTCAGATCTGCAGCTCTGGAAGAAGCAAGTTCTTTATTTACCAAGCTATGCTTGGAATCAACTACTGCAATACTTTAGTGGAGGTTTCCAGCTAAAAGAAGGTATTAATCTTACATGTTACTGTTTCATCAAGTGTGTGATTTTATTTTATTTTAAAAAACAAACAATTAATTAATGTATGATATGCAATGATAATGACAACAGCCTGGAAGAACAGGAATAGCTGCAACATAACATGCAGGGAAGATGGACACTCTCAGCTCACAGCTGCAACATAACATGCAGGGAAGATGGACACTCTCAGCTCACAGCTTCTTGAACAAGGACTTGTGTCAAGACTAGTATTAATTTCACTTGTCATCAGGATAGTTGATATTCCTTCAGCATGTCTATTCAATGCTATCTCTCATAAATGTTATAACAATGATAATAATAATAATAAAGAAAATTATTGTTTGTGTAAAATCAACAAGCATCACAATGGCAACTGAAGAAATATTATAAATATTATAAAAAAATCAACACAAACAAGAACATAAAAAATTAAAA